CTAATGAGTATATAGTATAATAAGCAAGTTGAAAGTAAAAACATTAAAAAGCTAATGAGTATATAGTATAATAAGTGAGTTGAAAGTAAAAACATTAAAAAGCTAATGAGTATATAGTATAATAAGTAAGTTGAAAGTAAAAACATTAAAAAGCTAATGAGTATATAGTATAATAAGTAAGTTGAAAGTAAAAACATTAAAAAGCTAATGAGTATATAGTATAATAAGTAAGTTGAAAGTAAAAACATTAAAAAGCTAATGAGTATATAGTATAATAAGTGAGTTGAAAGGAAAAACATTAAAAAGCTAATTCGACTGTGATAATTTACAACATTATAAGATATATTTTTTATTTTTGGAAAGTGGCTTTGTAGGTTTGAAGAAATCAACAAAATGAAATCTCTCAAAGTAGTAATAGCAATAAATAAAAACGTATATATTAACTAATTTAAATTTGACATTATATTAAAAAACAAGTATTCGAATGTTTACTATTTTGATAGTTTGCCATTCAGAAAACTAAGAGAAAAAGATAAATGCAAATAATGGCAATCTTAAAACTCATTAATATTTATGTTCCATATCTAAAATGAACGTTGATTTAGTAATTTATCTTTAAAAAATATATGACCTTGAAGCTTAACCCTTTTACACTGACACAAAAGATTTTCTAAATAAATCAAGTACAATCGTGGTCTGACATCTTTAACTTCACATCGACGTAGAAAATAACAGATCACATGGCAAATAAGCAGAAAATGCGTAAATGGCTATTTAGTTTTGATCTGAAATAGGAAGGCACATCATATGTTCCATCTTCGACGTTAATATTTAGTTTTGATCTGAAACAGGAAGGCACATCATATGTTCCATCTTCGACGTTAATATTTAGTTTTGATCTGAAACAGGAAGGCACGTCATATCTCCCACCTGCGACGTTAATATTTAGTTTTGATCTGAAACAGGAAGGCACGTCATATGTTCCATCTTCGACGTTAATATTTAGTTTTGATCTGAAACAGGAAGCAGCCATCCCCACCCTGGTGTAGAAGCCACTGTTTAAGTAGATTGTGGTTGAAGAGGAAACAATAATAATTTATTTGATACATAACTTTTCATCTGACTAAGCGTGTTTACTTGCTGGCTAATGTTTTCTGAAGAATTATGGGAATTTGATTTAAAAACTTTTTGTAGTTGTAGTGCGTCTTGGATACTGCATTAAAACAGGCATTTGCACACGTGTCTGGGTTCGCCCGTGTTACACGAGACACCGATAATGATCTTAGTGGTAATACTACAGAATACGTTCCGAGTCACAAATTGAAACGCTTGTTCTTTGAGATACTTAACGAACATACCTTTGAATACAGCAGCGCTACCCCTCTGAAACTATGTATACAAATATTCACACTGTGTGTTATATAAACTTGCACGTGCATCTTTTTGAGACCGCAGTACTGTAGAAAAAACTTGAAAATGCGTTTTACGTTTATTTATTTCATTCTAAAAAAGCATTTATTATTTTCTCTATATAATCATATCTCACAGTATTGTACGAATGCTAAAGGTTTCAAGTTTTGGTGCTTTTCTAAAATGTGAATATGATCGGGTATTATTTTTAACGGTCTGAGAATTATGCATATATACTACTCATCCTTTTATAAGTGCTAGTTGGCGTGCTTATTGTACCTATTTTCAAGGATATAGCTTTCGCTATTATAAAGATAAAAAACAAACTTTGTTATAATTAAAAACTAAAATAAAGTTGTATAAAGATTAAATTAAAATTGAAGTTATTCTGTTTTATGAGGGAGTAAACCGTCCATGTTGGGTAATTTACAGACCATATGGATAGAAAGAAGGCAGTTTATCAACACTGCCAACTTTTTCTGGTATTTAACGAACGTGAGTTACTATTACGTGAGTTACGTGAGTTATTCTGCTTTATGAGGGAGTAAACCGTCCATGTTGGGTAATTTACAGACCATATGGATAGAAAGAAGGCAGTTTATCAACACTGCCAACTTTTTCTGGTATTTAACGAACGTGAGTTACTATTACGTGAGTTATTCTGCTTTATGAGGGAGTAAACCGTCCATGTTGGGTAATTTACAGACCATAT